CTCTCTTAGGCATGAAAGCCTTCTCTCTCAGCCCAACTGACCTCACACAGTTGTGGCAAAAAGAGAAGACAAGAGGATTAGGAGTGTTTGCCATTATGTTTTATTTCATCTGGGCAGGAGAAAATATAACAACAACAACAGCAACAACAATAATAATACTGCCCCAGGTCCTTTGGAAAGACTCGATAGGTGGATAAAAATGCCAAATCCCATCTGAATCTCTGATTGAGTGATGAAAGATAATAATGTGTATCATATATTTCTGTATTGTTGAATACTAGTATAGTTTGTTAATATTATATATTGGTGCTGAATAATTTCTTCTGGAAGAATTTCTGATTTTTATTGATTTTATTTTTGCCCATACATAATTTTTAAAACATGTCTATACAATTTTTTAAAAAATTTAGCTTGGTGTAATTTGTTGAATTGTTACGCTTTGATACAATCCTCAAGGTTTTAGGTCCATTGGAACATATTTGTGCAGAAGCTGCAGGAATGTTAAATATATGTTGTTGTAACAGTTGCCATCCTTCTAAAGTGTGCTTTAAATTTTTGTCTTCCCTTTGTCTGGCTTTTCCCTTTAAATCATGCTGAGGCCTGGCCTGCTTACCTGGTTTTCAGGTAAAGGAGTTTTGTTTCCTGGTTTCTTAGACAAATGTTGTTCTCTGTTCATTAGGTAGGGCTTATAATGTGTTTAAAAAAATCTTCAGACTGTCTCCCAGGGGAAGAACAAAGCAAAGCCCAAATTGATCCTGTGCCAGATCAATTTAGACCAGTGGTTCTCAACCTTTTTAATGCCGCAGCCCCCAACCGGTTGTAAGTCGAGGACTACTCAACCGGTCGTAAGTCGAGGACTACTCAACTGGTGCAGCACCGTTTGCAGAATGGGACTTTTGGCGGGCTCAGCAGGGCAGAGACAGCCTGGACAATTCCTATTGGCTTTTGAAAGCCAATAGAATTAGACTCTATTCAAGAGAGTCTATTCTATTGGCTTTCAAAAGCCAATAGAATAAAAGGGAGGAGCACAGCTAAGGAAAAGGGGGGGAAAATGGCAGACTGCATTGTTTGGCGACCCCCGTGAAGTGGTCGTTCGACCCCAAATGGGGTCCCAACCCACAAGTTGAGAACCACTGATTTAGACTCTATTGATTACATTGCATTCATAGCAGGCAGATGCTTATTTTTTTTGTTGAAATGTGAATCTTAAGGTTCAAAAGCAGATTTGCAGGACACTCAGAATCCTTACTTTGCAGGGGGAGGGAGGGAATGTAGTATAATTAGGAAGATAACATCTAACATTTTGAATAGAAATTTTAATTTCTTTTAGATGAAGAATAAGAACAATGATAAAAAATTCATTCACAAAGTAGCGTATATCCATTAACACTTAACCTATCAGACAACTGAAGTATTGAGGCTAGCATTGTTAGCATTAGCATTTGTTTAGTTAATATATATTGTGTTAGAAGCTGTGGACAATATAGTGACAAAATCTATGCCCAGAAGATTTGCATATACATTATACTACACTGTCCTTATGCACATATAAACTCTATGCATCTATTTGTTGAATCTGTGGTTGCCTCTATTATATGTTATCTAGTTGAACACAATTGTGCGGAAAAGAGGAATATGCAGCTTAAATAGTAATAAGACCTGAACCTGTGGTAGGACACTACACATACAAAACAACTGTGCAAGTTTGTATTTGACGAGGTTATAGGCGAGTCTGGTGAATGAATCTTGAAGATTACAGTTCCCTATGAGAGGGATCAGAAAATCACCAGGCATCCATCTTTCTTCTCAGCAGTTCATTTTCTTAAGAATGCCTGGGTTTTAACTTCATTTTTTAAAACTTCTGGGGTTTTTTGCTTCTTATCTTTAAAAGTTGATTGGCTGGTTGAATGCTGATTTATCATCCTCTGCTGGACTCCCATCTGTTTTTTGTTTTGTTTTGTTTCCTTTGATCTATTCTCTTTTTTGGAATAACTTTCATTTTTCTGTAAGGAAATCATGGTGTGTTCCTGGATAGTGAAAGCACTTTCACTTGATCATTCACTACAAGAATTTTGTATTTTATTAATTTACAAAAAGTTTGGAGCTTATTTTTTAAACCTTTCTTTTAATTTTGGATTGAAATATCTTCCCTGCTTCTCTATTTTCTGAGGGATATTACTTCAACATTTCTTGTTTCCTGTCTGAGAAATTCTCTTATCTATCATTGCTAAGTTACACAAAGCAACAATGTATCAGATTATAGGTAAGAAAAGTGGCTCTCATCTGAAAAAAGACCATTTCTAACATGCGGTCCCTAGTTGAAAACTTTTTAAAAAAGTTTGATGAAATTATAATGGCTGTGGAAAATATTCAGATGCATGCAACTGTAGATAAATCAGATTCGCAAAAGGAATGTGAACTGAAAGTAGCTGATTCGCTGGAAAGAAATATGGACTTTACAGACTTAGAACTAAGTAAGTCAATTGCATACGCCTCCTTGAAGTTCAAGCTTGCATTCTTTTACAGCAACAGAAAACTGACTGATTGGATAAGTGATAAATTGGTTTTCCTTAAGAGGATAGGAGATTGGGGAATATATTTTTCACACATACTAGCAAACAATTTCTTGTGGACATTTGTTGGAAGATAGACCAGGGGTTTCAAACTGCCGGCCCACGGGCTGGATGCGTCATGCTGAAACCATGTCCCCCCCAGCTCCGGCAATGGGAAAAAAGTTGCGATACGTCACAACACGTCATGTGAGGTGGTGAGTTTGACACTCCTGAGATAGACCAACTTTGGAGATTGGACTTTTATATTTAACCAGACAACAATTGATAATAGATTGTATTAAGAAACAGACATGGATATTTGATCTAGGAAAAATCAGTGTTAACTCTTAGAATGAATTGGGATAAATAAGAAGCCATGGTAAATTTTCTATGAGTTGATTACAGTAACAGCTTGCTGACAGAGGGTTTTGAAATTTTAATCTTGTCTTTTTATTTTTATTGTATTTCCAATTAACTATTTTGTCATTAATATGGTATATAGATGACATAACTTGCAAATAGAATTAGTAGTTTGAAATTTTGGGAGCCTATTTTGCAAGGTGTAGGAAACTAATATTGTTGTAATATTCAACTGGGGGGATAATAGGTATATATGTGTTAGGTTAGTGTCTTGTTTGGTTTCTGGGAGGGATTGTTTGCTTTTTAATTTTTTTTTTAAGTTTTATATTTAAACGTCTTTTGAATAAAATATAAATAGACAAAAAATACTGTTCATAGCCAAAATAGCTAAATCATCTTCATTTTAGTAAGATATGGACACTGGTGTCTGGCATGTCAAGGTATAATAAACAAAGCAGTTCTATTAGACTCTCATCATGACCGCAGTTTTATTTTCAGCAGGGTGGGTTGCAACTGCAGTTATCTGTCCTGGACACTTCCACTTTAGCATCTAATTTGGCTTTATGCCTGGCAGACCTAGTCTCTTGGCAAGTGTGTTGTGGGAGAGATTAGTGGTTTATAATGCCTGCCTGCTCGCTGCTGAAACTGTTATTAGTAGCCAAACAGGCACCTGCAAAAGTGTAAGCTTCGAATTATGAGTGATAATTTCCCCCTCTTCTTTCTACTTGATCCACATTTCCTCCAAATGACCAAGATATAAACAATATACGCTCCATTCATCTGAATAGAATAAATGCTCTATCTATAGTATCTATTCATGATGGTAAATATAAAATGACTTTCGGTGATTCAGGAATAAATTTTTCAAGTGTAGGTGTTTGGGTGTTTGCATATGTGTGCTTCTGTGTGAATCCATTGAAGAGCACAATACTTAGTGCAGTGCTTATTGATTAGGATCAGTATGTTTGCAACTCTATGCATAATTGCCTTCAAGTTATAGGCTGTGGCTTTTTAGATTCAGTTAGTAAAACATGTTGATCATGAATGAAAAATCTTCATCAAGTTGAAATGCCGCTTTCAAATTTTAATTAGAAATAGAAACTATACTGCAAAGAAGTTTTGCCTTTTAAACTGCTAGTATACAGGAGGACCCTTTTAAAAAAAGCAAGCCATAATAAGCTTCTGCTTGATAATGTCCCATATTTGCTGATTTCCTTTGTATTACTACATCACAAACAATAACAGTTTGAAGGCTGCATTATCATATAATTCATTTATTAGATCAAAAGTGACATTTGATGTTTTCCTTTCACCACTATTTTGGAGAAGGTCCTAAAGCTGTGCTCCACTTATTCTCTCTCTCTAATGCCCAGATTTATTGAAGCTGCAGTAACAGGAGATGCGCCCAGAACAACTCAGTTGTTCTTGGTCTATATAACCTGAGCTTCTCCTTTGATGATTCTTCATTTCTACTGTTGTCTTAATGGATTCAGATCACATGTCAAATGTCAAATATAGCAACTGGATTTCCCAATACAGAAATGGAGGAAATACAAGTTGACAGCTTTCTACTTGTCATAGGGAATATGCAGCTTCAAGTTGCTGAGCACTGTAGAATGACATAGTTCTGAAGAGCAACTTGCAAAGAAAATAGAGTTCTCTTCCAACAATAGCTTTTATTCCATGCCAACTTTTTGTGGACGCTACTGCATCCCTTCCAAGAGACCCAGTAGAGTACAGACTCTCCTGTTGTGGAGGCAGCCCTATTCAGCTGCATAATCACTTTTGAGAATGGTTTCAGGGCAGGGTTCCCAGCTGTTCCCAGCCATCTCGTCTCTCACCTCCCCCCCCCGCCCCTTTTGTCCCCTTTTAGGACCTCCATTACCAACATGATGTCTTGGAGCAGAAGTACTGCTTTCTACAAAAGGCAGAGATGGGAGTGTACCAGTTATCCTACTGATAATAATTCAACAGTCATGTCATCCTAGAAATTGACAACCTGAATTGTCAATGATTGTGTATTTGCCGCTTTGTGACTCTTTTTTTTTTTTGTCTTTTCCCCAGACAAAAGAGAAGGTTGTGCATTGTAACTGGAACTCTCAACTCACTGTAAAATATACAATAGTTTTGCAGTACAAATACTTGGGAGGGGGGAGGGAAAAAGGGAAAGGTAAAAAGCAGCAGGGAGGGCTCTGAAACCAATAGGCTATGACAGTAGAGGGGTGGATCTTGGCCCCACCTCTCCTTGGTGCCCTCCCAATGCCGGTCCAAGCTTACTCTGCTGAAAAAGCTTTGTCTTTCAGAGGGAAGGGATAGGAAACCAGCGTACTTGAACTTCTTAGCCTGTTGGTTTCCAGCTTTAGCAAGTAATCAGGTGAGTTGATCTTAGCATTTGGAATAAGTAGAGACTCTGCAGATGTTTTAGTGAAGGATAGTTTAAATTTACACTGTTTTCTCCTCTTTGCTTCCCAGAATAGTTCTGTTTTCTTTCTCATCCTTCCAGGTTACTGAATGAAAGCTGCAATTATAGAAACTTACTGGAAATAACACGTTTCATCAATTACCACAGAAAAGAAGGAAAAGGAACAGACTAGTTGGGAATTGCTTTAGATTTTGCTGAACAGCTCCTTGCTTCTGAAATGTGTTAACGCAGGGCATGAATTTAGGTTTGCATAGAAGTGAAAGAAGAATCCAAGGTTTTGATTTGCTTAATGTCTAGCATGAAAGCTAAATATGTATTACATTTGTAAACATTACAAAATTGCCATTTCCAAGGGCCAAGAAGTTAATCTAGTTTTGCCCCACAGAGTACAGAAGATTCTTAGCATTGTGGCATCTAATTCTGCTAACTGATGCTGTGCTACAGCCCTTTGTCTAAATAAATGGTATTCAACATTATGGCTTTAGGGCAGGTTTATATCCCAAGGAAGGTTTAACTCTAACCAGTTTTTAAATGATCTATTAGCTTTTCATTAGCTTACTGGCTAAATAATAATTCTTCTAGCAGTTGAATAACAATTTTATAGTTGTTATCAATGCAGAAATTAATGTGTACAGTAAATATGTTTCCAATTCACTCTTCTATATAGATGAATAGTAACCAAAGTTCAAACAAGATATTTAAATACCTCTGTCATCAAGATAATAGATTAAAAGTAATGAAAAAGCAAACATCTAGAAGCATGACACACAAATGCCTTACTTTTATACATAATTTTCGTAACAGTTGATATCTATGGAGTCATGGTTGTCCCAAAGGTGCTTTTTCAAGAGGCGACTGGACTTGTTTTTCTTTGAAGACGTTTTACTTCTCATCCAAAAAGGTTCACCAGTCCTATATGATTCTCCTGGAAATGAATTTAAAATACATTGTGGTTGTTCTGTTCAATTATTTAGGTTACACTGATAAAATACATGTTTTCCACTTATCAATTTTGAAATTGAAGAGTAACTTGTTCAGAAAAAGATGAAAAAGTAGCACGTAGCTGACTTTAGTTTTCCCAACATAACTGTTTCCTAATTTGCCAAAATGTTTCTTTCAGATAACTCAGAATTATTATTATTTTATTAATTTAAGAAGCCTATATTCAAAGCTAGGGAAAACTTGTTCATCTGGAGATACTCACATTTTATATTTTCCTTTTCCCCTTAGAAGGCAGCAATATGAATATCTTTCCATTCTCGTTGATATAAAACTAACCATGGGATTGTGGTGGGTAATATGAAGAGAAAAGGGGCATTTTATCTGGTCTCTATCCTCAAACTGGCACATGCTAATTTCTTTTGGCTATACTGTATAGTACATAGTTTACACACCTTTCTCTTTGTATCTTTTATGGCCTGTTCCTGCTGAAGCAATGCAGTGTGCATACTTGTTAAAATCGAGATGGTGGGTTTGGGTATAAAATGCCCCTCTTCTCTTCATATTACCCACCACAGATCCCATGGTTAGTTGTTTGAGGGAGGAAAGATATAAAAAATGAAGACGATGGCTCTGTGAACTTATCAACTCTTGAACAGAGTAGCTCCTCCTTAAACACCATAATTGCTTTTTTGGAAAGACTAATCAAGCTTTCTTTTAAATTACATAAATTTCAGGCAGTTAAGTGAAAGATAAATGGCCTCCCCTGAGTTAGCTTTTGTATTTACTTGAATCTCAGATATTACAGAAGCATGGAATTTGTGTGAATTGTTTAAATGTAAATAATTTTCTAGATAGCCGAAGAAAATAATTTGTTTGTAGTGGCAGATCTACCTGTCTCAATAAGTGAATTTATATAAGGGTGTTAAAGTGGCAGGTAGAAAGCATGCAATGATAGGGAAAACTCCTTACATGCACACACATATATATAAGGCAGTGTGCATGTGTGAATATTTTAAAATTTGAAAATTGCAAAATATGTTTTCCAGGAATGCTTCCCATTCATTGTTTCAAAATCCTGATTTTTAAAAAAAACAACTTTAATAATTTGATCCTGCCTCTTTTTAAGTAGTATTACTTGGAAAAAAGTAATGTGACTTTACTGTACTATAAATTTTAGGATTGTTTAAAATAGGAAGTTCTGCATAATGCCTTGTTTTGATGACTGGGTGTGCCTCAGCAAAAATATGTTCTCAAGAAAGGAAAGGGGAAATTCATTGTAGAGAAGAAGACCTCTCATCTTTGTATCTATTTTAAATAAACATATTTAAAACGTGCTTAATAAGTACATCTAGAGTTCTTGGAATTTCTTGGCTCCAAATAGTTTCCGACTTTAAATTTCTGCCAGAATGAGCAAATAACTGTTAGACCTAATCAGCTAAAACAAAAGAGACCCAAATGTAAATAGCAATTATTGTTAGATTTCAGTTGGAAAACTGATAAATACAGGACTTTTGAAATTGTATAATAATAAACTGGATTTGAGACTATAATAAAGGATTGAATTTGTTTATCATGGAAAATTTAATCTTCCCTATCCTTATTAAAGATTATTATCCAACAGTTTGCACATAAGTGAAGAAAATCACATATTAATCTTGTTAAAGGGACAATGGTAGAATATATTTACAGCGCTGTGATAAAAGTAATGCAGTCTTGGAGGCAATAGAGCCATCTACTGGTCTGTTTTGTTAAGATGTTAAACTATGGTTTACCAAAGGTATATTGCTTGTAATTCCAACTCAAAGAGATACATTTTTCTATTATTATATACCTTCTTTCCTTGCTTATACATTATCTGAGGAAAAATCTAATAGTGAGGATATTGAAAGGCAAATAAGTAATTGATACAGTAACTTGGGTATCAATTTAATTATTCTTAACTATATGTCAGCCTTGCGGACCAGCCCCAACAAGAACCATACCCAAGAATAATAACTCTATTGTAAGGTTACATTAACAGAAACTTGCAAGTCTGCAAGTCCCAGCTCACCTTTACAATCCAAGAAACTAGGGATGGTCCTTTTCAAGACATTTGACATGCCCCCATTCCTGCTGTGGACCTGTTGTTGTTAATTGCGAAGTCGTGGACAACATTCATTTAGCCTACCAGCTATCTCCTATTGTTACAAGTTATGTAGGTTCACTATGCAACTATCTGAAGCTCTTCCTCTTTCTCATCAGCTGTGAATCTCCTGCTGTTTGACTTCATTATACTGGGTTTCTCTAGAATCAGAAGATCCAGTTTCTTTATACATCATACATTTCATGGTCTTTATTATCTCTTCCAATTTCCTTGTTCAAAACTCAGAGAGCTAAACATAACCTTTCTTCATGCAGTCATTCTGATTGGCCTTTCTGGCAGGGTTCTATATTATTATTCTTGAGCTGTAACTAGAATTGTACTTAAGTATGCACTTCTTTACCACCATCAATTGTCTAAATGCATTAGGATATTGACAACCATGTTTCATACATTGGGGTGGCGGGGGGGGGGGGGGTTGGTTGTGGCTATCTTCACAACCAAATACCCTAATCTTTTCCCTGATTACTTACAACTGGTTCAGATCTCTCCTTCACTAAAAGAGTTTCATTTCAACACGTATTTCATTTGTTTCCTGTTCATTTAATGAAGTGCAACTTTAATGTACTATATGATAAAATTTGCAGCTTTGGGAATAAAAGATAAATCGGCATGTTAAGAAAGGACTTGTAAGCACCATTAAGGAGTCTTAAAAGTTTTAGTTCTATGAAGCTTTGGAGCTTAAGTATTTGAATCGCAATTCTTAACATCCTCTCAAAGTACAGCTTTGAAACTTGTTTGGAGAAATCATGGAACTGAGCTAGTTTAAACTGCTTTATTTGCATAGCTAAACAAGAGAAAAGAATCAGTATTTAGTTCAGGGCTGAGCAATCATTTGGTGATCATGGACTGCATTTCACAATTGTTTTAGGAAGGGTTATGCAAAATCTGGATAGGTAGCATTTATACAGATGCTTTCACTATGCCTTTTATTATTAATTAGATTTCTATCCTACCTGTTGTACAGGAGCTCAAGATGGCATATATAATACCACTTATTTTTCCCCACAACAATGATCCTGAGGGGAAAGTTGGAATGAGGGAATGTGATTGTCACCCACAGAATCACCGATTGGATGTATATTTCCTGTTGCCAAGTGGTGGTGGTGTGGTATTTGGGGCAATTATGGGCAGAGAAAAACAGGTGCAAGGACAGTGTGGAGTCATGGAACCTTGATTTCTTCAGTCCTAAGCTAGACACAATACAATTGTTATTCGCTTATGAATGATAAAGCTGCCATTTTAAATTACATCATGGGGAGGATTGGTATTTAAGAAGTAGCTGCCCTGTGTGTTCACTGCAAAACACGGGGAACATTTCATTTGCAAGGTGTTGAGTGGTAGGGGAGGCTGCTAGGCGGATTTCATTGCTATTAGAAACTGCCTCAACTTAAGGAAATTCAATGCTGGTATGTATTATTTTTAATTTTCATATCTTCATAGGGAAAGTGAAGCATGATAAACAGTTAAGACTACTCATCTTGCCTGAGCTTGGACCCAAGCTTCATTTTGACCAGTGGGCAACAAACAGATCTTCACTGCTGGATATAACATGGCTACCGATCTATTGCCATTCAGCTACAAAAGCAAACTCAGAACTCTGACTTCCTGCTCTGAATCCCCCTAAGGAGTATGCTGTGGGCTGAGGCAACTCTGGGATGATGAGGTGCATGGGTGGCCTGGCTAAGAGGGCCTGGCTCAGCATGGTGTTCCAGAATCGCAAAGTCCAGCTTTTGCTGATCAACTCCTTAACTTTTGGCTTGGAGGTCTGTCTTGCTGCAGGTGTCACATATGTGCCACCCCTCTTGTTGGAAATAGGAGTGGAAGAAAAGTTTATGACAATGGTTCTGGGTAGGTGGCTTCTTTTCTTCTTTGCTGGGAGATTCTCCATGCTAGATTTGATAGACTTTGAGTTTAGTGTGTGGAAATGTAGGTGTGTATGTTTATCTGTCCATCAACGAAGGCCTTAAGGCTTTAGGCTGCCAACTAAATAATATTCAGGCTGCAAATAATAGTTTTGTGCATGTGATTGTAAAATGAAGTGGCACTTTATGAATTAGGACATAAAAATATAATGTAATTGCTATCGTATACTAAACAACATGATACTAACCATAATCTACTCCAGATATGGGCAACCTAAAGCCTGCAAACCGTATCTGCCTCTACATTGTCATTATGTTAGCATTACCAAATTTTGGCAGCATAGTTTTTCAGTGGATTTGGCTGAAAATCTAACATGTATTTTTAAAAAAAAAAAAAAAAAAGTGCTCGGGGATGGGAAGCTCTTTTAAAAGATATTTCAAGATTATCCTCCCTGTCACACAGGATGACTCTCCTACTATTGTATCATGGCTTTCCATACCTTTGAATGTGACTAATGTTGCTAACATGTTTACCCTTGTTCTAATCTGTTGAAGTCACATGGGCACACACACACACTCCATTTTGGAAAATGGGTGAGGGGATGCTCAAAAATCCCCTAGCAGTTGTTCATTTCTCCTTAGAAAGTCTGGCTTTCCTGTCTGGTTTTGGAGGCCTGGAGGTAGATTATCTGACATTGTACCTTTTATTTTGTGATCATTTGTTTCCAATTACTGCCCAATTTAATCGCTTCCCATTAAATTTCTCACCCCTTTTTATTTTCCAGGAATTGGACCAGTTCTGGGTCTGATATTTGTACCACTACTTGGTTCTGCCAGTGACCATTGGCATAGTAGCTACGGTCGACGAAGGCCTTTCATCTGGGTGCTCTGTCTAGGGGTTTTCCTGAGCCTTCTCATCATTCCACATGCTCACCGTCTGGCCAGACTTGTTGCCTTGGATGCCCGTGCATTGGAGCTGGCTTTCCTTATCCTGGGGGTTGGCCTCCTTGACTTCTGTGGCCAGGTCTGCTTTACCCCCTTGGAAGCTCTTCTGTCTGACTTGTCTCAAGAACCTGACAGCTGCCGACAGGCCTTCTCTGTTTACTCTTTCATGGTTAGCCTGGGAGGCTGTGTTGGATACTTGCTCCCAGCTATTGACTGGGACAGTAGCTTCCTTGCTCCTTACTTAGGGGGTCAGGAGGAATGCCTCTTCAGCCTCCTCACCATCATCTTCCTTGGCTGTGTCTTAGCAACTGTCTTCGTGATAGAGGAGGTGTCAGCTCAAGTAGAGTTCAGCTCAGGCCCTACAGGAAAGTCTTCTTCCAAGTCTCCATCATTTGCCTGCTGTTCTTTTTGGCTTCCAAATAACTTTTTGAGGACCAGGCATCTGGTTCAGGCTTTTAGGAATCTTTGTGCCTTGGTCCCACGCCTACATGGAGTGTGCTGTCGTATTCCCAAGGTAATCCGAAAACTTTTTATAGCGGAATTCTGCAGCTGGATGGCCCTCATGACCTTCATGTTGTTCTACACAGACTTTGTTGGGGAAGGATTATATCAAGGCATTCCCAGGGCTGAACCTGGGACGGAGGCCAGGAGAAACTATGATGAAGGTATGAAATGTGCGAGAGTTCTTTTGCTTATGCCTTTAAAGCAGATTTCAGAACTGAAAGTTTTTAAAATTATGTAATTAGAAAATTAATTTTCATTAAAAATGTTTGATAATTGATGCAATTAGAGCAGACTTATTTAAACCTGCCTTTGCCATCTGTTATAAATTTTTCCTTCTCCTTGAACCTGGACTTCTTTGAGAAACAGCAAGAAACTCATTACTATTCACGCACATAACATTAACCTATATTTTATTGTTTTATGGAAATGCATCCCCTTGTTGCTTAAGTAGTTACTATCTGACTTTTCTGATTCATTGATAAATGTATGATGGCCTGTGAGCAAAATACTTTAGTTAATTAAGTTTGTAAAATATTTTCTTATATATTTGTCCTGCACTAAATCAAATGTGCAGATCCCCCTTTTGTTGCAAAAGGATAAAATCTGTACTTGACCTGTTCTCTCATTTCTTTCTTAACGTGAAAAGCTACCCAGATGGTAGCTTTTCTTGAGTGTCTCCTCTTAAAGGCATTTGATCTCCAGCTTGCCTTTTGTTCCAATATAGCATATTGTTCCAAGGTCTGAGTGACCCTGTTTCATTTTAACTAATGTTTAACGTTTATTAATGAAGTGTACACAATGTGTTCAGTAATTGCCTCATCTTGGATCTGCGACCCATGCATACTTATCTTTTAGAGATGCATGAAGAAAAGTTCACAAGGAACTGAAGTGTGGCACTGATTTAAACATCAGTTTCAATATAAATGAAATGTGAGCATTATTTGTCATTTGCAGGTACAAGTTAACATCTTGGCCACAGTTAACTGCTCAAACTAACAGCTAGGCAAAGTTCTGAAAATGTTTAAGGCTGAGCTATATTTGAATATTATGTTACTCTGTGCAAGACACCTGAGGACAGATTTGACTTCTGAAATATCAAATATTAATACTTTTAATGCTTTCCTCCTATTCATTTTTAAATTTCATAAACTTAATTACAACAGGTAGATCATTGTGGTCCAGATGACTAATGATAGTTGGCTTTATGAAATTTGACTTGTTTCTAGCTAACCTTCCCATCTTCTCTATTTCACTGTATATATCTTTCTTCTCAGGAATTCGGATGGGTAGCCTGGGCCTCTTTCTCCAGTGTATCATCTCTATTTTCTTCTCTACAATCATGGATCGGATGGTGAAACACTTTGGGACACGAATGGTCTACTTAGCCAGCGTGGCTTTATTTCCATTGACAGCCTTCATCATGTGCTTCTCTCAAAGTGTGGTCATTGTCACTGTTTCTGCTGCCTTGACTGGCTTCCCTTTCTCAGTGCTTCAGATTCTTCCATACACACTTGCATCACTTTATCATCATGAAAAACAGGTAGGAGAAACATCCTGAAATGGCTCAGGGCATGAAATAAATGGATATAATTTTAATATGAAGTTTGGCACATGTACACCTTTTCCCCATAGCTCTCTTGTATGAAAGCAGAAAGTAGCACATATCAGAAGTAGCACTGATGTATTTTTTTAACCTCAACGACTATATTCAGTACACATAAGAATGGTGTCAACTTTAGAATGAGCATGTTCTTTGAGGAATTTGAAAGCCTCGGCATTCTGCTTTATTTGACAAACGGTTCCAGACAATTCTTAGGTAATTTTTCAGATGAATTCATATGTCATCTTCCAGATGCGATTCACCTATCATTCTGTTAAGGAAAAGGCAGAATGGTTGCGTAATAATTTGATTGCTAATATTCCCAGCCATTCAGCTGAAGGCAACCAAAACTAAATTTGCTTAGTGTATTAAAGATTCAGTCAGCAGTACCTCAATTGATTCCTGCTTTATTGATTCTTGCCCATTGTTCTGTAAAGCTATTGACTATATAAAGTACTGCAGTATCTTGACTTGGTCTCCTATTTTCCACATATATAGACATTTTAATAAGCAATAGTTATTCATAGACTTGGTATCTTAGACATATATCTTAAAACCTACATTGCAGAGCAAAGAAATTAGGAAAAGGTGAATAATTTCAACTAAACTAAGAGAAAATTACCCTCAGAAATTCTGATATTACAAACTCCCAGATTTTCTAGAGGTTCTGTAGTTTAAAAGTCCAGTAATTGCTTTTTTAGATATGTAACTATCAGTACCATAATCAATAAGCCTGGGATACTTGATGCAAATTCCCAAATTGTAAGGGTTTCACCACCATTAGCCTTGACAAGAGTCATGCAGTATAACTTCATACTAGCCAGTGCATTTAGGTATTGGGTGGGATTCCTGGATTTCCTTGACCAGGATTTGTATGGCCTGAAGATCTAGATTTTTAAAGCAATAAGTCAATTATATGGGAGTAACAAAGAGGCATATTCAGTTGATCCTTATTTAAAGTGTTTACTCAAATCTTCAGAGAACTGGCAGTATGGCTGCCCTGATCAAACCCTTAAATAAATACCTAACTTCTATTATTAAAATATTCAAAAATGTCAAAAGTGTTATTTGGTTTTGCCAATTTTGCAACCCAATGAGGATATGTCCAAAGCAGCTGTTCCCTGTTATCTAACTGCACAATTACCGAGTGATTACTGTATCTTCTTTGTAGACGTTTGTAGGGTGATACAGTTCTACCTAAGCCTCCTCTTTTTTTCTTTACCTTTTGTCAATCCTTTATGTCTGCTTCCTCTATCTTTTTGCTTCTTTCTTCTGAAGTGATTTCTTCATAACAGCTACCATTCCAGTGTTGTGAGAGCCAGCAAGACTAACTCTGTCTGAACCTTCCAGTGCAGAAGCCGTGTAAGTCGGTTGCATTTCATGCATGCCCTTGAATTGTACTTATAGGACTATCATCTTTCTGGAATCAATTCCTGACTGTTCTGTGTTGGCTAAAGCACTTTGACCAGGTTGACATTATATAAACCTAAATGGTAAAAAGCTTATCAACTTAAGTGGTAACTAAATAGTAAATAATACCAAGCTGCTTTGAGCTCTTATTTAAATGAATCCTCAATTCATGTGAAATAGCTTGAATGACATCTTTAATTTCTAGAAAACAGCTATCTTTGTTTCTTCTGTTGATCTATATTTAAAAGCTTTCATCCTCACTTTTCTCTGCTCCAGCTAATCATATATTTCATATCGTATTCTGTGGTTCCTATGTTTTTGCTGAATTGTCTTCTAACATCATATCATCTTTTATTTTCTTATGCTTTCAGATATATTTGCCTAAGTACAAAAGTAAAGAGAATGCAGCTCAATCAGAAAAGAAGCTGAGTTTCCTCAAAAACCACATTTCTACTCAGAAACTGACCTACCAGAATGGACATGGTGGTAGCCTGTACTCTCCCCCTGTTACTGGCTCTTCTCTCTGTGTCAGCTCGCCATGTGAGGTCTCGCTCATGATGATGGTGGGAGATTCAGATACTGCAGCTGCAAGCCGAGGCATCTGTTCAGACCTGGCCATCTTGGACAGTGCTTTTCTTCTTTCCCAGGTTATCCCATCCCTTCTTATGGGTTCACTGGTTCAGTTCACACAGTCAGTCACCACTTATATGGCGTCTGCTACTGGCTTTGGGTTGGTAGCCATTTACTTTGCAACCAAAGTTATTTTTGACAAAAGTGATATGGCCAAGTATTCACTGTAGAAGGAGAAAAATAGAGGGAAAAATTAATGTGTATTAAAGACATAATAGAGAAAAGTGAGGAGTGCAAATATAGCCCCTTTCTACTTCTCTAGTTGTTTAATGAGATGTTTATTTGACTGAAGGAAAATAACTGGGTTGATCTCAGGGTTTCTTAACAAAAAGTGTAGTATTGCGCTGCCTCTTTTTACCCAATGCCTTCGGTAAAAATCTGTGCCCCATCCTTTGGATCAGGCTTACAAGAGCCTTCTAATAGGATGCTACTATGATCACTTCCTTAAGTTGTGCAGGTGGAAGATGACATAGTGCAGAAGGGACCAAAGATAGCTCAGAGATGCAATGAACTTCACTTCTTAGTTACTTTCTGTATTGAAATGTTGTTGGTCAGCTTTTGTATTGAGTTACAAGTCCTCACAACTTGCTATGAACCAGAAATTAAATGGAAGAATATGATATGATATATTAATGTTTTTGAAAATATGTCAGAATACTACACTCCCTTCATTTTTCTGGATATGCTGCAGGTCAAAGTCTAGGTGATATAAATAATCTGAGCAGAGCTACATAGAAGGGAGCTTGTTTAAGAGAAGATGCTGTGGTTACACTGGCAGCAACTCTGCCACTGCATGAAGGAAAAGAAACCTTAGTTGTCAGCTGATCCTTTTCACCACATCTGCCCAAAACAGAGCTTGCAGTTAGTGTAAATAGAAAAGCTTGCATAAACGGAGGCTGAAGAACATGCCTCTCTGGGGACTTGTCTTTAAGTGATTAACCTGGCCCAAACAAACTACAGTGCCTTCTACTGTGTGCAATCCTGAAAAGAAGGCTTAGAGTAAAAAGATTTGGGTGTAGGCTGCTATTTCGGCTAAGGAGATGTGTGGTCATTTAAATTTCTGTGGAAGGACTGCATAGAAAAAGAACTGTTCTTATGTATCACAAGGCAGGCACCAACTGAGTTTTCCACTGTGTAATGACCCATTCTTTCTGCCACCCAGGTAGAGCATAGGAATTTCTTGGGCTAGAAAAGTATTGTAAGCCAAACTGCCCTTTTTTAAATACACATAACACACACTCACACACCACACCCCAACTGTTTTTAATAAGCCATTTAGCTGGCATTGATTCAGTCAGCAGCAAGCAGGGCAGTTTTTCCTGGCCAGGATTTACACATATTGAGTACAAGAGCTCAAGATGTATAGAACAATGTGGCCAAAAGGTCAAGATCAACTCTCTTTCTCCAAGGTAGGATCCTCTTTCCAAGGGTTGCACCAATTAACATTGAAAAGACTGTATTTGTAATTAGAACAATTGGTAGATTAGATCTGACAGTAATATTAAGTAAACAGGGATTGCTGGAAGCTTCAGGATTATAGAATTTGGGATGGGAAAGAGGACTGTCTTCTGTATTCTCAAAAAAAAAAAAAAAGTGTCACCAAAGCTGCAGTTTGTATTTCAAGAGAAACTTCCATTGATAAACTTTTCTTGGAATGTAGATAACCACTAAGATGAGATGACCTTTTGGAGTTGAGAGAGTATAAGAAAGATGGATGTTTCATATTGTATCTGTTTGATATCAATCTCAGTTGGTCATTTCTAACCTGACCTGTTTTGCATTTTGAACTATGAGATAATTGTTGAGACAATCATGTGGTCCTTGAAGCCTATGCCTGTGGGTTAGCTTTAGTGTGCTGCAGTCTTGCAAATTAATCACAATGTATACCAGATTGCAGTATGTCACAAGAACCCATTAAGAAATTGCTAGATGAATTTGAGCCGAAGACCCCTGTAGGAAAAATATTTTTATTCAAATGGATGAATCATGCAATTGTTAAATGCCTTAGGCAATTTTAACTAGTGCAGATTCTTAGCTTAAAGAAACCAGTCTGTTAAATCCTGTGAAAGACGACATTTATCCACAAAATCTCCTACTACAGACTCATGCAATTTAATCTTCTAAGTGGAAGGAATAAAGTGTTAAAACAAAAATAAGGGCAAAATGCTGGAGGAGGAAATAAAGGATCATAGAGCTGCCTGTCAGAACTGGAACAGGGGAAGATGTAAATTGAAGAGGAAAAAGCAAAAAACAAAACTGAATACATTGCTATTACTTTGGCTTTACCCAATCTGATATTCTTCACATGTGTTTGATTATAACTCAGCAAGATTACAGGTGATTGAGGCTACAGTCCTAACATGTGTTTTCTTCCGATGCCATAAGTACAGGGCTGTTGAGAAACCACATTTGATATTAGATCCTAACATGGTTTCATGCTTTAAATAGTGGCACATGTTGTATTAGTCATCAATGTCACCCATGTGATCAAACAAGAAACATGTGTATATTATACGATGGTCCTTTCATAATGTTAACTCATAAATTAGCAAATAGATGTGTGCTTCAGCACAGTTTATGATTCCATGAAGCAATGGGATTATTTTCCAGCAAGAACATGCAAACTACAACCTTCCAAAAAGAGGTACTTCAGTCTGTCTTGACCTGACATCTTTCAGAAGTTTTGCAATGGCAAAAATTCTAACCAATTTCATCCTATCTTGTCTAAATAATGTGAAAAACTCATTCGTAGATAGAAAGTGTCACTATCCTGATTCTGATCTGAGTAGACACAAATAGACTTTTTTTTCAGAGTAATGAATCTAGTGATTGGTATTAAAGATTATGCCCATTTTCATTGAAACTTTTATTCTTGTAAAGTATTCCAGGTGCCCACATTCCTGTCTTGGTAGGAATGATCTTGGTTTATTAGTTACCTTGCACAGGGTTCTTTAATTCTTTGTAACCTAAGAGCATCATTGGACCAATTAAGAGAAGCTATAAAAGAGAGTAATAAATTCCCATTAGAGAAAGTAATAACATAGGTCTTTTTCCCTATGAAATTTTAGTTAAAGGACCCAGGAGAGCTTGCAAAGTTTCAGTAGCATTTTGCTTGTTCACAAGGTTCAGGGTCATTTGATAACTACAATTTCATTTTATTGCTGCAAATCAGATCTGGAATAAAAAAACAAAAAGAGTCATCTTAGAAACACAATGAATCTGACAAATCATCTGAATTAAGGAGAAAAAAAGAAAGAGAAAAGGACTTATGTGGAAATAGCCCAGGTTCTGTTTTTTTCCAAGGAAAATAGTTCCAGAAAATTTTAGTCATCTTCAAATCAGTTACACCAGTCTTTATATTATGAGAGCCCACATTGTAGCCTTGGATCCTCTGTGCACAGGTTCCTAGGATCCTTCTTGGATCCTAGGTCTAGAAAGCCAGTAATCTGGCCAATCTCCAGTGGTTTATTTCTTCTTCTTCCCCATACCATGTAGCAAAAGATCAGCAAAACTTTTATCTTTTATCAGCAAAACTTCTGCTTCAAAATATGGTACTCACTAAATCCTGCAGTAGTAAGCAATTTCATGTACTAAATACATATAATCAGTTTTAGAGTCAATCATGCTATTATCGGGGATGATGGTGTCTTTTAATATGGGTCTCTGAAAGTGATATGTCAATTGAGTTTTTACCTCTGCTATAGGCTCCTTGCAGTCTTTTCCACTCAGGCTAGATTCTCATGCTTGGCTTAGCTTGATAAATCAATATTGGGAGGGAAAGAGAATATAGAAGTACTACATGAACTAGTTGAGTGGCTGAAAAGATATTGGCAGAGATGCCTACACAAAAGAGCTTGACAAACCATCCAATTCATCTTCATACCAATCCTTAAAAATATAAATTAGGTTCATTAATTCCATTTAGTCATTGGTGGTTTGACCGTAATGTATTGGATAAGCCCCAAGCAGCTGGGTTCATAGAAACAATAGCTATAAACTATGAGCTAACTATTTCCATTACTAAGCTAATAAAATCTACCAAAACAAAATCTAAGTAACCACATTATAGTTTAAACTTCAGCATCAGTCCATTTTTGTTTTTGCATTTTGAATAATTTATCCAGGGATATAAACTAGTGGAATGGGCTGGACAAACAGTTGTGGGATTTGTAACAAATTGTGACCATCTTGCCTTTCTTATGATTAAATTTGTTTCATTGCATTATGTGGCACAATGCTGTCCAGTTGGAATTATGAAACGTAAATCTGGTACGATTGTTCTTGCTAACATGTGGAGGGTTAACATGGAATGAAAAGATAAATTCATGAGCCATATCCAAAATTCATATATATCAGTAATCAACCTGGTTTAAATTAATATGATTATTAGAAATGTTCTTTTTATACTTGAGACGTGCTAACAGAGAATCCACTGGATAATGGATTCACACACTTCCATTATTGTTGTGTGCCCATTATTGGTAGGTCCCTAATACATATTGTTCACACATTTTCTTTGGTTGTGTTGAAACTCTGTTAGAGTGGTGACTGTGGAGCAGCAAGATGGACAAATAATGACACAGACATGATGATGTAATCACACAAAACCTGCAACTTATGCATTTGTGTCATTGTATGTATCCATAATGTTTGCATGATTTCATCTTCACATACGAATTGTCACTTTGGCAGCACATCAGCTTTGGGTGTTAATTATTTCTCCTTTGTTAATGGTATTCATCTTTATCTTTCCTACACAGCTTTATTTAAAGGGAATTTTCTGAATCAAGTTTTGGCCAGTGATTAAATGGTATCTTATGCTATTTCTTCCCCACATTAAAAAAACCTGTATGGAATTTGTATGTTTATTTATTTATGGAAATAAATATTTTGTACAGTTTGTGCAGGAGATATTAAAGTCTATTAAGGAACGGAAATGTTTAAATGGCCTTAATTTAATACAGTAAGAACTTTTGGATTTAGAGCCAAATACCACGTTATTTATTTTTTCTATGTTGAATTGAAAGAATGAATAACACCTGAAATGGTAAAGTAAGTCAGAGCCATTCAGAGACTGTAAGAGGGTATATATTTATGGGGCTAGATCAGTGGTTCTCAACCTTTCTAATGCCGCGACCCCATAATACAGTTCCCCATGTTGTGGTGACCCCCAACCACTTATACATCACCGGGTGCCAGGGGCGTGGCCAAAGAAAAGGGGAAAAAAATGGCGGACAGCCTTGTTTGGCGACCCCCGTGAAATGGTCGTTCGACCCCAAATGGGGTCCCGACCCACAGGTTGAGAACCACTGGGCTAGATCATTGTGATTTGTTTCTGAAAATGGGTAATTTCAACAGAAAAATTAAAACAAAGCTGAAGCGCACTTGGTCACAAAGTTTGAATACCTCACTTTTCAAGACATGGAATTTTCCATATTACAATAACTTGTAACTCTAAAGAATACATTTAAACAAAATACAAGTTAATTGTTTGGAGGCACTACAATATTAAGTTCACAAAATATTTTTATTTTCAAATTTTACACTTGGTTTATGAAGCAAATATATTTGCGCTTCATACCATATCCCATTTCATATTGATTATACAATTGTATTGAAAGAACTCTGTGTCCATTTTTCACCCAGTCACCTCTTTTTAGACTTGCCATGGATAGCTCTATCTATATATTACACCGTAAGCACCACAACTGTATCATGGGACACCTTTATTGCTCTATGATTCTGTCATGGCATGCTAGGAAATTGACAAACCTCAGGAGGTTTGTCAATTCCTTTTACAGAACAATACAGTAAACATATTGGCAGATTTCAGTTATAAATCTGTTCCAGTTATTTTACTTTCATTACTAATTATACTAATTATATACCTTTTAATCACTAAATGCCATTAAATGGACAAAAATATTCAAAATGAGCACAAGAAACAAGTTTCAGAAAAGTTAAAATGTATCAACCTTTGCTTGCATCACATAAACACCAAAATTCTTAGATTAATCCAAACTTCTCTGAGACAGTCATCTCTGCTTTACGTTTTATTTATTTATTTTATTATGACTATTGAAAGAAACAATGGGTGGTTGTAACTTAGACTAGCCTTTCTCAATTTGCAGCTCTAAAGAGATATTGTACTGGGGGTTTGACCCCCAACATTTCAAACCAATATACTTTCGGCTGCCAAAGTATTTGGAGAACCAAACCCAGAATGCAGTGGTTTGAGCTCTGAACAAAACTCAAATGTTTCCATTTATGCATATCCATGATATTAACAGAGCTAGAGTATAGTAAATACTAGTTCCTGAATGCTAAAGTATTCAGATTACAGCTTCCATTATATATGCTAGCAGTGCAGCCTAATTTATGTATTCAATTTACATAGGATCCATGGTGGTTCTGGAAGGCTAATAAAAATTATTCTTAAAAACTTTAAGCAGAGATACTCAAGAAATTGGCAATGAATAAAGAGAAATTATTCTATGAAAAATAGCTTGCGATATGGAATGCTAAATTGACAAATTGCAAATTATAATTTACTGAAAGCGCAGGAATAAAGGATAATTTGAAGGATCATGTCTGGATGTGTATGGTGGAAATAATTAAAGGAGGAAAAGGACGGGAAAAAACCCTCCTAGAAAAATTTGGCAACTTTACATTAATTTATGCCTTCCTTCATTTTAAACTGTAAAATAAATCAGCCAGTTCCATCTCTTGGTTTGTCATGCATTCCTTTCTGAATTAGTACAGTATCTCCTAGGGAGAAAGTAACAGCTTTGTTTCCTAGCCCCACACCCCTAAAATGATTGCAGAACTAATAGTTGTTCATAAAACAGCCTTGATTCCCCCCCCCACTCAGGAGAATTTTGGGGAAAAAATTATGTAAAAGCATGGGACTGACTGTCAGCAGAATAGCTCTTCAAAAACAATGCCACAGGATCATATTTGGTATGGGAAAGAAGCTGGCAAAAATATTTGCAAATAGGCTGAATCAGCCCAGGTGCTACAGAGAAAGATTTGTGGGAAGAAGCAATTGGCCAGGAGCTCGGATTGCTGGCAGCTGTTCTGTTCTGAGCCCCCCCCCCACTAATTAACACATAACCCAAAGCACAGTATTCAAACAGACACAACATGACACCTCATGCTCACACAGATGAGACTTACTTAGCTACACAAACAAAAGTGCAATTACCCCCAATGGTCAGGAGGCTGGAAAAATATTTAGCTGTGCTGTTTGCTTTCCTTACCTCATTTAGGTATGGATATACCATATTTTGTGCAGGATCTCCAGCAGGTATTGGTATAATATTCTAGTGGGCTAACTAGGCAAATGCTGTAGCAAGTAATTTGCATTAGTGTACAAATTACTTTTTTATACATAGTTGACTTGGGTTACTAATGCTACATTCATTCCTTCTGAATGTGAATCCTAGCCTGGATTGGTCTTTTTGGCATATCATTTTCTAGACTTAATTAATTTGGTACCATATTTTGACAATTCTGGATAATTATGCTTGTAGTTGAAAGATTTGCATATTGGTTATTTGATTCTAAGAGTTATTGCTTACAAATAATAGCTTTCAAATTCAAAAAAATTAAACTTCTATAAACCAGAGCAAAGGCAGCATGATAATTCAATTAAAGAATAAGTTAATGAACTGAAAGTTAATACTGATTCTGAGCCTTTCTGGAGAAGGAAGTCATGAATATATGGAATCGAACTATTTTAAGGAACTGAATTTATTGTCCAAAACTAAAAGTACACAGATATAAAGGATAAACAAAGTAAGAAGCCAACACATTAGAGCAGGGGAGTCAAACTCAATTTCATTGAGGGCCGCATCAGCATTGCGGTTGCCCTTGAGGGGGCGGGTGGGTGTGGCCAGAGTGGGTGCGGCCTACTGGGTGTGTGTGGATGGAGTGGGTGTGGCCTACTGGGTGGGTATGGCCAGCTCTATATTGTTTGCCCCACTGCCTGCCGAAACCCCTCCCCCAGAGCCCATCAAGCCAGATAAGTGAAGTAGGTGAGGGCCATTTGCTGGCCACTTCCAGGCGATGGTGCATTTCCTCATTCCTCATAAAGGGTGACACCTCCCCAGCATGCACCCAGGGGGTGGGGCTGACGCGGCAGGGGCTGTTTCCTCGCTGTTTCCAGATGGCCTTGTCGAGCTAAGACTGAATGTGTTTCAGCATAGATGGCCACCACAAAATTGTACATTGGCTCCTGGCTGGCCTGGGCCAGGGCCAAGGCAGAAGAGGCCGTTTCCTCACTGTTTCCAGAATGGCTTCGTGAGCCACATGAAACCACTTCGTGGGCCGCATCCGGCCCCCAGGCCTTGTTTTTGACATGTCTGCATTAGAGAATGGAAATGGTGGCAAACATTACAAAGTATTCATTTAGTCCCAATATATAACCAGATCATTTGAGTTTATGGGTAATTCAAACTAGCATCTTTACAGCAATTGTGTTTGAGCAGAATTTGGCAGCTTTTATAGAAATTTCAATAATCTGATGTGTAGTAGTAGAAGTATTACTATGTACTATTTTAGGCCAACCTGGCAAATATTAATTCAGAGGCCTTTTCTGATTAACAAGGATTGGGATGTGAAGCTCAAAAGCACAAATCACAAGTTATACCTTTTTCTACCAGGAAATAAAGCGTCAGCAAGAATAGACAGGGTCAAAGATCAACCCTGAAATTATAATTGGGATTTACTAAGAAAGCTATGAAATACCATCTGATTTCCCTCAGATGGTAGGGGACATGGAGAAATGAAAATAACAGAACATGTATTTCTTCAAGAACCTATTAAGATTCTCCAACACTTTAGACACCTAGGAAAAATGCATCAGAGTATGTTGCACCTGTTTATGATTTCTTAAACAAATGTATCTTTTCTGAGGATCACATTGCAGCTATAGACGGCAACTACACAATTCCAGGAAATGATGCAGTTGCTGGCATAGGCCTATGTCAGGGGTCTCCAACCTATGGGCCGTGGCCTGGGACTGGGCTGCGGGCTCTTGGCCAGCGGGCCACAGAAATGGCTGGCCAGTGCGCGCATGTGTGGGCGTGCATCCCCACTTGTGCTAGTGCCCGCAGCCCTGTTCACACGTGCATGGGCGCAAATGGGGTCGCTAGCATCAGGCAGGTGTACATGGCCCATTTGCGCATGCACGAACAAAGCTGCTAGAGCTGGGCGGGTTGTGCGACTATTCACATATGTGTGAACTGGGCTGCTAACTGCTGCGGGGAGTGTACAGCCGTTCACACATGTGCATGGCACCAGCACATGCCACATGCACAAACGGGGCCGCTAGTGCTGTGCCAGTGTGCGTGGCCCTGTTTGCAAGCACGCACGCACCAATTTGGAAGCTGCTCTCCTCTGTGGTCCACGAGTCCGGAAAGGTTGGAGACCTCTGTCCTATGTTCTCCAAATTGTGAATTGTGCCATAGCATAGACCCCAAAGATTGCTAATTTCCTTATAAATACCAACAAGAGCAATAAGTAAGCTCTGAACTAATTACCCTTTAATTACTAAAGTTTTTCAACATTCCTACACATAACAATGCTATTGGTCTTCAGGAATCGTGGTCAGAAAAGACTTCAAGGCTTTTCTTAAATCGGGTTCAGAAGTTGTTCATTCCTGTTTTTATTCACAAGTTTGGGAAGATATATCTATACACATAGACACACACAGTATAAATAACATAAACACAACTGTATCATCCAGAAAATCCCTTAATCCATCTCTAGTTTCAATAGGCCATTCAGAATGGTGTTGTGGTGAAGGGATCAGGCTAGGAACTGAGAGACTATGAGTTTCAGTGCCACCTATGGGCAGCCACTCTCAGTCCAAACCACAAGGCTGATGTGGGGAAAATAGGAAGAAGAAGAAAGGTTATTATGTATGTTCACCACCTTAAATTATTTGTAAAGTAATAAAGATGGGATAAAAATCTAATCAAGCAATCTTTGTAAAGGGAGAAAGCCACTGAAAGATTAAACATCAACAGGCAGTGATGTAGCCATGACTAATGAATAGAAATACTTATCTGCAGATCACTGGCAACCTGTCCAATTGAGAAAACAAAGTTCAAAGTAGTCCCAATTTAGTTTGGGCTGATTACAAGTCAAAATAACTGTGTCTGCAATGGCATCTTTGAAACAAGAGCTGCCCTCGTTGAGGCAGTGCTACTGCTACAAGTGCCTCAGGAAAATCAGCTTGAGAATCCCAATACTGAAAAAGCCATTGCCTATTCACAAAGACTGCTGAAAAGACACTGGCGATATCCCAGCCAAATTTGAGTGCTCAACCCATTATACAAAGACTCCAGAAGATCCCTGGTGGCACAGTAGTTAGAATTCAGTATTGCAGGCTAACTGCCCACTGCCTGGAGTTTGATCCTGATGGCCTCAAGGTTGACTCAGCCTTCCATCTTACCGAGGTTGGTAAAATGAGGATCCAGATTGTTTGGACAATAGGCTGATATTATAAACCACTCAGAGAGTGCTGTAAAATTGTTATTGCTACTGTTAATACAGGCCCAAATCAGAGGCCTTCAGAGGGAATCTTATGAACAAATATGAATAGGCTAACTTTTATTCCTACCCATTTGCAGTGCAGTAGGTATATATAGTTTGTATTTTATTTTTAGAATAGAAGTCCCATTATATTATCACCTCTTAGAGCAGATCTTATTGTTACTATTAAAATGACATCAACAGAGCAACTACTTGAAATGGTGTGCAAATTTCACCTTTGAAAATTTCAGGTGCTATTCAAACAATGTTCTGTGAGCACTGCCTGTTAAAACATGCATTTTAAATGTAGCAGGAATCAGTTCTGATTCCTGAATAAATTAAAGAAAGATCAAGAGTGTTGGCAACCTACATTTGGAAATTAAGGGTGGTACCTTCTTACTACCATTCTAGTAGATCAATTAAACTGTTTACAAGTTAATGCAAGTCTCTGAAGCCTCTGGGAAGAAAGGGCTAATCATGGATTAAGAAAGAGACAGTGTTGAAATAAGAATAAGATCCTCTTGTGATTAGCATAGAACATAGTAGATGCCAGTCACAAACCAAGCTTTGAATGCCAATAATTTATTAGAATTTTTATATCTCTTTTGAGTGTTCAGAACATTATGTACTCATTTTCTCAACAGTCCTTATGACGACAGTATAAAATGACTAGGTACTGTAATCCCCGCTTTCCATTAAAATAAATGCAAATTGAGCTCTATACCATACACATAAACATGCACATATCTCGTCTCTTTGTAGAGACAATCTTGGCTTCTCCATAACCAGTTGAAATTCTGATTAAGTTTGTCCATATATTGTGAAATTAATTAACTGTGAGAATCTTAGACAAAGCCAAGTCCAAAAACACTAGATAATACCTGGAAGCCTGGCACTCAGACAAATTGGCAATCAACAGGCAGGCAGAGACAAACAACATCTGCATACCATTCAGAAGAGGCAATCAACAAGTCAAAAAGGAAACAAAAAGGCCCAAACATCTCACCTGCAATTAATACCCAGATGAGCAATGATTAGCACCAAGATTAACACTAGACTAACAATCAAGAAGCAAACAATACCCCAATCAGACAAAGAAGCTAACAGTTAACAACAGTCCAATCAATGAACCATCAAGACTTCTTCCACCAACACTGACAGAGCAAGCCACTATATAAAATGATAGCAAACCCACTCCCCACTAGCACTGATGGTGGTTACCTAGTTTGGCAATGAAACATCAGAAAAAAAAAACCCAAATAACCTGAGAGTAACAAGGATCTCACAGTTTAACCCTGAGATACAAATATTCTATAAGGACAATTGATTTAATCAGCAATGAAGCCAACTGAAAATCTCATTGCTGTCCTGAGACCCGCAGGCCTGATGACAAAGCAAGTTCTTGAAGAACTTCCCAAAAATAAGAAAAAATGGATCTGTTCTTACTTTGGGGTGGGGTGAATGTTCCATAAGGCAGCTATCACAGAAGAGAAGGTCTGCCTCTATGGGACCGCCAAGCTTAGTTCTCTGAAAGATTGGGACCTGCCTGTCTTGCAGAATCTGATAAGACAAGCAGATGTAATCAGGGAGAGATGGTCCCTCAAAAAACCCAGCTTTAAAGGTCAAAAGCAGCACTTGAGTTGAACCCTGAAGCAAACTGACAACCAATGCAGCTCATAGAGAAGAGTGTAATGAATGTTGTTCTAGAACACATAACTGCTTGTGCAGCTGCATTTTGCACCAGCTGAAACTTCTGGATGCTCTTCAAGGGCAGAGCCTTCCAATCTAGGTACAGGCACAACTGGCACACTCCTAGCAATGACTGCAACCTCCTCTTTGAGCAGGAGTTCTGACTCCCAGATTGCACACTGGGTCTGTCTGCAGCAGTGCCAGCACCAAAGATGGCATAATCCTAGACCATAGACCAGTAGCCTCCAAACCCAAAGCTACTACTGTAAGTGTTGCCAGGGTTCGGCTGAAGCCTATTGTTCCCCATCTAGATCTTCACAGCCTCCAGATACCAGGATAACATCACTTAATGTGCCAGGGGCAGAGATGTTGCAGGTAATCTCACAAAATCATTTCGGGAACAGGGAGAAATGAATTTGTCTATTCACAAAATAGCTTTTACAATAGACATAATTACCACAGTCCATTCATTAACCAGAAGGTAAACTATTCCTCATCATCCATTTTCACTCCTTACCAAATTTCAGCTTTCTGGGCAAGGTGACATTTTCAAACAATGACTAGATTGCAACTATGCACAATGTTTATTTTTTGAGAATGCCTATAGGATCCATATCCCAGTGGTATTCATGGAAATACAGATAATGCTGAAGGGTTGCATTTTGGAGAATTCTAGAATAATAATTATAATTATAATAATATAGAGCCTGATGGGTGTGAAGGAGCTGTCCATGTACACATTCATTCCTACAGACAGCTCCATCCCAACCCAGAATATTAAGCCTTTTCAACAGGACGTCTTCTCTACTGTTTGAATTACGTGTGTGTGAGTGTAAATGCTGTTATAGTATTGAGAGGATATTTGTTGTTATCCTTTCCAATGGTTTATAGTTACATTTCAGAAACATTTTAAATCTGCCACACTACCCTGGAGCAAATCTGCCTTAGAGGCACTGGAAAATTTAATAAAGCAATTTTAACTATGAACTAATGTGCTAATTAAACAAGCTCAGGAGTTCGGTGGCACAAGAAAAGCAGACGACCTTTTTGCTAACTTTCAAATCTGAAACTGGCCTAACCAAAAGAGCTGGGGCCTTAGCATAATGTTCCCACTGCTATTTTTTGAGAAAGCTAGTGGGGAAGCATAATATGTGTAGTTACTTCCAGATACCCTTAAATTACATGCATATGTTAAAAGGCATTACAGGTGGTTGGCCCTACCATTAGTCAATATGAGGTGATAATCTTGGGAAGCAGATGTAGAATGCCATGAAAAACCAGCAAAGGTATTCTATTTTATATTATGGGTGATGGTACAGTCAGCCAAATGTTTATACTGGATTTGGCATTTTTAATATCAAGTTCTTCTCAAAAACCTGGGATAGGCAGATTTGGTGTCAACAGTATTGTAGCAGGATGCAATCTATTCCAAGAAGTTGCTTTTTACATTTGACTGATGGTGATTTTGTCAATACTGATATAGTGTTCAAATGGTGCTCCAGATGATTGGGGATTGTACCCAAGGTGCTTCTTAATATTATCATTGTTTTCTTTTGCCACAGTCTCTACTTCTATCTGCAAGTCTTTGTATTATTCTTTTCCCTTGCCAAGGATGGCGGAGATGCTTTAGAAAATTTGTTAATTATGTGTCAAAATAACTGGACTAGCTTTTATACTAAGCATCTTCTATTTCCCTACAATATATTCAAATTCAAACAATACAGCATCATTTTATTTCAATTTTTTAAAATAACAACTGACTTAGGAACCTTGATGTTGAGAAAGTGCCCTTTATCAGTCAGTCTAAGAAGCTTAATGTTTTTAGCCTTACTGTACTTAGACATCCCAGGACTGAAAGTGAGGACCTTTTGCACTCAAAACAGAATTCTCAGCTACTAAACTACCATTTCTGGGATGGATGGGAGATGCCACTTCAAGCCAATTTGATGCTGTCACAGTTTAAAGAGTTCTTATAAAATATCAATTATCAAGTCAGTGATATTAATGCAAATTAGAATATATGTACATCAGCAAATGATGTCTAATACTGAATCCCTGGGAATCAAATATAAAACCATCTTGATTTATTTTATGTTAGACTCTTGCTTCTTAAGTTATTAACGTATACCATAGTGTCAACAAAGGGGGAGGGAGGCTTTTTTTAAAAAAATCCACATTTGCCTATGATTTCATCTTTAAGCGATATGAATAACATTTAACTTTCTTAACACAGCGGATGCTTTCCAGGTTTCCCCCGACAAGTACGCAATGAATTATTCTTAAAATATATTCACCTGTTTAACTCAGTAGATGGAATAATTTCACGTAGTAACTTCACATACTTCCTAATATAGCCTATATCTTTTAATCCTACTAGTTTCAAGACGTATAAAATTGAAATATCAGTTCTTTTGACCTTCAAGCCAGCGGCGATTATAGAATGAAAAGGTAAACACCAAGTCAATTTGCGCGTGCGGAGAAGTTCCCGGGGATGGTCCAGTCGCTGCTCCTGCTGGGTTCTCGCCCAACCAACGGCACGTGGCTCAGCGGCTAGCAGGGCCAGGCGAGCCCCTGAGATGAGCTGTCCAATGAGGAGACGAGGCTGGAACCGAGCCTTCGAGTGGGCGGGGCCACTGTTTCGGAGGGCACCTACCTTCGGATCATGTGAGCAGAAAGCAAGAGCGCGAGGAGGAGGAGGAGGAGAGGGAAAAGCGGGAGTCTTGTAGCAATTGGCGATGGTAAGGGTTAACGGGCGTGGATGTTGGCGTGGAGGCGCGCGAGCTGGGAGCGAGAGAGAACGAAGGGGAACGGGGACGCGTGTCGCAGGGAGTGCCTGCATTTTTCACGGAGAAGGCTGCAGTGTATTATTACTGTAAAAGGGCCACTTTGGGAAGCTGGTGATTTGGGAAGGCACGCAAGGAATGTACTAACAGCCGCGTGTGAAAGAACTTCTTCCAAGAAATAGTTTTGCTGTTTCTCTGCCCCAGCTAGCTGGGTCGGAGACGGATTCACCACCAAGAGCCGATCTTTTTATCTTGGTTGCCGGGAAGCAAAAGTTCCTGCTCTGTGTTTATTTTAACATCCCCATCCCTCCCCACTCATTACATTGGAAACTGAGTGGGAAATAAATCCTGTGGGTTGTTTACTGCAGATGGCATGTGAAGTTTCCCACCGCTTCTAGTGGAAAATCTGGGCTTCTTGCCGCCAAATGACGGATAGCGCTTTTTTTCCCCAGTCCGATCTCCGCACCCCGAAAGCTTCAGAAACGCGGCCGAGTCCCATCACGCTGACAAACGTAATGGGGCTTCAGGAATCCAGCTAAGCAGGCTAAACTTCTAGAGCGGAGATTTTTACAGGCGCGTGAAGCAACGCGCCTCTGAACGCAAGTAACCCGAGGTTGCCGTCGGAGTCGATCTGCCTGACCTATCGGAAACGCGGAACTCTCTTGATTGATGGCAGACCTGCCCCGTGCTTCGGCTTGCAGGGCGGGACTCTTTGCTCCTTGGGATCTGCGCGAGGGGAAGCGACGCTGTAGTTAGTAGAAGGTGGAACCCGATAGGTGAGCCGAGGAGCGCGTGCAGGCCGGGCAGCCTCGTTCTTGCCATCTGAACTGCTCGCGCCCGGTTACGGAAAAAGCCAAGAGCGTGCGGGTTATGCGAGGCTCGGGATTCCCTTTCCGTGCTTCTCAAGCTCTGACAGCTGAAAGTAGAGCCTTAACCCCTTGTTTACTCTCCCTCCTGAAGTACGCTCCCCTGTGTTCCCCCCGTTTTGTCATTGCCTGTGACCGTCCACTCCTTTGTAGTAGAAAGCACCAGTCCCAATCTGGCTGGGAGTGATCCTCAAATATTAGCGTGAGATTGGCCTTTGATACCTTCGCACCCATTTTAAAACGAACGCACAAATTCTGTAATTGATCCTACTGGCTCACTCTTGAAGGAGTCTCCTGCACATCAAGTTTAGGTTCTGGTTGACAAGTCCCTGTAATTTGCAACAATACAGAAGTCGTTTGATGATGCTTTCCTTGGAGAGACTTTTTCCAATTCCCTAGAACAGTGGTTCTCAACCTGTGGGTCGGGACCCCATTTGGGGTCGAATGACCATTTCACGAGGGTCGCCAAACAATGCAGCCCACCATTTTTTCCCCTTTTCCTTAGCTGTGCTACTCCCTTTTATTCTATTGGCTTTTGAAAGCCAATAGAATAGACTCTCTTGAATAGAGTCAAATTCTATTGGCTTTCAAAAGCCAATAGGAATTGTCCAGGCTGTCTCTGCCGTGCTGAGCCCGCCAAAAGTCCCATTCTGCAAACGGTGCTGCACCAGTTGAATAGTCCTCAACTTATGACCAGTTGAGTAGTCCTCAACTTACGACCGGTTGGGGGTCGCGGCATTAAAAAGGTTGAGAACTACTGCCCTAGAAGCTACAACTACAAACTAGCTACAACTTTAGGATTTTAAGAAGGCCTTCCATCCAAGAACTTACCAGGTCTGATCATGTTTAATTTGTCAGGATGAAGTCAAACCTAGCTGGGCCTTCAGTCTTAAATCTTCTCTTTGCATATTTTTTTTGTCTCTGTTTTATAAGCCTCCAGCAATATTCTCTTCTTTCTGATTGATCCCTGAGATCCATCCAATCTGAATTTGCCTAAACCTAAATAGAGGTAGTCCTCAACTTAAATCATTCATTTAGTGACCGTTCTAAGTTACAACGGCACTGGAAAAAATGACATAACCATTTTTCACACTTATAACTGATACAGCATCCCCATGATTACATGATCAAAAATTGAGGTACTTGGCAACTGGTTCCTATTTATGACGTTTGCGATGTCTCATCACCTTTTGCAACCTTTTGACAAGCAAAGACAATGGGGAAGCCAGATTCACTTAACAACTGTATTACTAGTTTAGCTGCAATGATTCACTTAATTATGGAAAGGTCATAAAATGGCAAAACTCACTTAACAACTGTCTTGCTTAGTTACAGAAATTTTAGGAACAATTGTGGTCATAAGTCAAGGACTACTTGTAGTCCCACCTTCTCCTATCCCCCAAATATTCTGCAAACCATTTCTGCCTTTTTTTTTTTTGCTCAATCTTCTCTCTTTCCTCTACTTGTGACCCTGTGTCCCAGTCTCTTTCTCCCTCCCACCAACATTTCTCTCTAGGAAGAAAAGGAGCAGGTGCAGGGAAACTGGGATCTGTTCCTGTGAGTTACAGCAGGGCTTTTCAACCAGTGGTACGGGTACCACCTGTGGTACATTGGCACCTGGCAGGTGGTATGCGACCATCCTAGAAAAGTAGTTGGGGAGGGAAATGAGCTGAACCGGTGGCAGCACAGCACAAGCCTGAGCGAGAGATGGCTGGATCTGCAGGGCTGTCAGGGCTAAGCAGAAGCGCCAGGATCAGCACTTCGGGGTTGTCAGGGCTCAGTGGAAGCGCCAAGATCAGTGCCAGGCTCCAGCTGGAACTTGGCGCTGATCCTGGTGCTTCTGAGCCCAGAAGAAGCACCGATCTGCTGGACTGTTGCAGGATCTCCAGGGTCTTGTGATTTACATTCAGATGCTTGGCAACTGATTCATATTTATGACGGTCACAGTGTCCCAGGGTCATGTGAAGTGACCAAAACCTGCTGCAATCACCCAGCAGATGGGGGAAATAAAGACCAAACACCCCCCATCCCACCCCCGCTGCCAATCCTCAACAGAAATGCTCACAACAATGAAAACCTCAGACAGGAGGAAGAGCGCCGCTGGGTGGGCAGGCAGGTGTTTTGCTCGGCTGTGGCTTGGGGGGCACTTTTTTCAGTGCCATTTGAACAGTCACTAAGTGAACTACCTGTACTTCATCACTTTTTTCCTTTTTTTTTTTTTTTTGGTCATCAAGTTTTTGACACCTTGCTAGGCGACTGATGGTCCTCGGATATTGCCATATCCTAAAAGTGGTACAATGGGTGAAAAGGTTGAAAATCCCTGAGTTACAGGACTCAGGTCTGAGCCCAGGCAACATCCATATCTTCTCAAAGAGATTGACCTCTTATGGCTCTTACATCTCTCCAGATTCACTGCTCTCAGTTCTTTCCACCCATTTTACTTGGCACCTTCATTTTCTTTAATAACACACTGATGGTCATGCAACTGTTTTGGTCTTTCAGTCTCTTGCTTGTCTTGTTTATTTTAAAACATTTTCTTTCCCCTCTTCAATACTACCAAATTTCCATTTGTTAATGTGTCCATTATTAATGGGATTAATCAAGATTCAGGGGAAATTGGATGGCTTAGCTACATTTGTATATAATATTAAAATCTACATAAATACTAGAATTCAAGTATTTAATTTCTTTGTTCAACAGGCTCAATTTGCCACTGGCAAAACTGATTTTCAACAAAATTAACACAGTATCCAAGATAGAGGAATTGTTCTTATGCCAGATTTTCAGTTAAAGCATTATAAACAAATAATAATAATAATAATAATAGTAGTAAAGTTGGAAGGGACCTTGGAGGTCATCTAGTCCAACCCCCTGCTCGGGCAGGAAACCCTACACCATTTCGGACAAATGGCTGTCCAGTCTCTTCTTAAAAACTTCCAGTGTTGGAGCATTTACTGCTTCTGGAGGCAAGCTGTTCCACTGATTAATTGTTCTCACTGTCAGGAAGTTTCTCCTTAGTTCTAGGTTGCTTCTCTCCTTGATTAGTTTCCACCCGTTGCTTCTTGTCCTGCCTTCAGGTGCTTTGGAAAATAGCTTAATTCCCTCTTCTTTATGGCAGCCCCTGAGATATTGGAATACTGCTATCATGTCCCCCCTTGTCCTTCTCTTCGTTAAACTAGACATACCCAATTCTAGCAACCGTTCCTTATATGTTTTAGCCTCCAGTCCCCTAATCATCTTTGTTGCTCTGTACTCTTTCTAGAGTCTCAACATCTTTTTTACCTTTAATTAGGCTGTGAAACATCCCAATATCCATATTTTTTATGTTTACAGGTCCTCTGTGCAATAGGTAAGATGTCTTTCCTGTTTTAAATAGGTCAAAATTTAAGTGCAAAAAATGAAAATGTTTTATGAACTTGGCCTCCAAGTTCTTTCCACATGTACAAATTTCTTATTTAATTTTTCTTTATACTTGGCTTGCAGTTACATTTGTAAATTGACGGAGTCACTTTAGATATTTCCCATATGGAATAATAAATTGCTCATAGTGTCAATACCTACTGTTTGGTGAACCTCCTGACTTTATGGTTTTTTTCCCCTATATAAATTAAGAGACAATTCAGTCAAAGGTGCTTAAAAACATGTTTTCTTCCATTGCCTCGAAGGGTAGAAGATGCATTACATGAAATGATAGTCAACTGTTGCCTGTTCTGGTATTTTATTATTGAAAATATTTTCCTAGTAATTGAATTATAGTTTAATATGTATGCTTGGACTCTTTATTCCTGAAATTTTAATTACTATTTTATATAATAGCATTACATTCACATTTTGGTGACTGCCTTTAATGGCCTTGTCCAAAGGAGCTTATTGAAATAGAAAGACCGTAGGTAGACATTAGTCTGTTTCTGTGGTGAAGATAGGAAGCATGGAAGCTGAGTCTGTTTCACTTACCTTGATTTTAGATTTCTATTAATATACAAATCTTTTAAATAGATAATAAATAATTTTGCCACATAAAACAGGACAGAATTTGAAGACATTTAAGCAAAATAACATGTTAATTCAGTTATTGTGTTTTATCCATAT